TTTACTATAATAATTTCTATCTAATAGCAAGTATAAAACGGTCAAATATATAAACTAAATTAGTTATACTTCTTTTTTGAACGCTTTTTTCTTGAACTCTTCTTTTTTTTCTCTTTCATGTATTTCTTTTCGAGAGGGATAAGATAATGCAAATTACCTGAGAGAAAATAAATAGTTATAAAAAATAAAAATTTTAAAATGAACAAATTTTGCACATACCATAATCAACTTCAACAATCTTTTTTTCAATACAGTCTACGATCCATTGCGCACATTTAATCTCAAGTCCATTTGTCACTCTTTTCACTCCTTTGAGGTAATTCTCATAAAAAAATAATGAATTTGTCATAAAATCCAAATTAAATACACGACTGAAGCAGTCCAGAAAAAGTAATCCATAGTAAAGTTTCCTAATAATGATGATATGATCGAAGCCATAATCTATAACTTCCTCAACATTACCGATAAGTTTTTCTTTTATATAACTGATATAGTCTTCTTGATCTTTATCGTGGATCTCAAATTCAAGTGAATTTGCAATATAGCACCGGTTAGAATTTATAAATTTATCAACTACAATTGGCAGAAAATTGCGATGCTCTTGTACTCTATCGTTTTCATCATTTAATAACACTTGAGATACAGATGCATCTTCTGCATTTTTCCATTTCTTAGGTTGATCATTTGGAAGTACAAGGTGGCACGCTTTTCTTTCCGCTTGTGCAAAGCCATCAGGAGTATTAATAATGACAAGTACACATAATGAAGCAACGTAATTTTTTATTTGATCTATTTAAATCAGGTTAAATTCTCTTTTCGCGCGTAGTAGGCATACAGTATAAAATAAACCTTTTTCCCAGCGCATTTACGCAAGAGATTGCATATTAAAAAAAGTATATCTAAAAAACTTGATCCACCAATAAAATCTCTTAATAAAATTACTATGCCTAATCATGTCCAGTTTATCATTGCTCAACTCTTCGGGAGTCATGCCTTTTTTGATCTTAACCGCTGTTTTTTTGTTCATTGGTCCAGTGTTAATCATGGGGATTGCTACCATGTGGTCAAATCTCAAACAAAAAATTTCCGATGAACTTTCTGCACGTGTCACTAGAATCGTCAATGATCTTAATACAAAAAATAATACACCGAAAATTGAAAACATCTTCAATAAACTTATCGCGGAAATTAATTCTAAAATCGCAAAAGAACTTACTGCACGTATTTCCGAAATTAATTCTACTTTCACTGCGGAGCTTGTGGGAAACAACAAATGAACTTAATAAGAAACTTACCAGAGAAATCGCTAAAATCAATTCACGTGATGCTGGCTACTTTTCTGAGGCGTAGAAAATTTTATCGATGATCAACGATATTGAAGAGGCAACATTTCATCTGAATTCAATTCGGTCAGGGCCTCTATTGAAGCTATCCAAAATGAAATGATCCAACGTTATGCAATTGCCCAAAGACTTCAGGTCGAATTTGATCAGCTGAGTGTGGCCAATCATTCCTCTAGTAGCGAGAGTTCTTCTAGTCGATTATCTGATTCATCTCTTGAAGAAAACAGGAACCGTTTTAAGCGAGTTTTTAATTCGAATAGGGAGGGAGATAGTTTGGATTATATGTTTGAAACTGTGAGACGCGAAATTCGACAACTTACTGGAGAAAAGATTGGGAAGGGCACCGTGAAAAGTTTTTATTATAGTGAAGGGAGTCCAAAATATGACATAGTAATGTTAATTATGAGATGGGTAAATAATAAAGAATATAGTGATAGTGTAAATAATAATGCGGAGTAGTGAGAAGGAACCGCCATATTTGGCTTAGGGGCTGGCGTGATTCCTCCCTTTAAACGAGATCTACTCTGATATCTTTTATTAGTTTCATTTTTTACTTAGTTGGCCAGCCCTTTCTCATGTATTACTTTATAAAAATATAATAAAGATTTTACTTTGATTTTTAAACGTGTTGTGTTTTACAAGTGTATAGGAATTTTTAACTTGTAGTCCATAAAGACCTCACTTTATTTTATAAAATTGTTCGCAACATAAAATAAACATGTTTCTGAGACATTGAGTGTATAAGTGATACCCGAAAATCGTTTGTGTGACTGTGCTTGTGTCACAGCGGGTGAAAAAAAACTACCATATATAGCGGGCCACAGTACCCCGGGTATCTTGCAAAAATCGGGGGTTTGACCCTGTACCCCCGGGTACTAAACAAAGCCTAAAAATTCCGTTTTTTGCGAATATCTCACGATCTACCGGTCCAATTTGAACGATCTTTTTTTTATTTTGAAGAGCTCAATGAGAGCTATCAAACAAAAAAAGATGGCTAAATCTGATCACTGGATCACGAGATAATTGTAAAATATCCCCCGGGTACTATACAATTCTATGAAATTTTTCAAGGGGGGTACTATGCATAGGGGGGATACTATGGCCTGCGATATACGGTAATTGGAAACTAAAGTCTGAAGTATTTCTTTATTCAACCTTGGAACGTATTACTTCTCACAACGATGTCCAACGAAAATAAATTTCACGATTATTTCAACTGAAATCATGAAAGTTGGAGCATTCTCGATTTTTTGAACGAGTGCAATCTAGAGTCGTTTGACCACAAGACGGACTGTTATATAAAATCACTCAGAGCAATCGCTGACTTTGATCATGGTAGCAGGCAAGAGTGCGCACGGATGCTTCTCGATGACTATAATAAGGCAAGTAAAAATTCTTTTCTATTGGAAGATAGTTTGAAGAGAACGTGGCGTGTCTGGAGGCCTGCTTGGTCGCCTGACATTCAAGGCTGTTCGCTAAGTCGCAAAACTGGGAATGACGTGTCGGGAGGCCTGCTTGGTTGTCTGACATTCAAGGCTGTTCGCTGAGTCTGCACTGGACCCACTGGCACAGGAGGCCTGCTCAGTCGCTATGATGTTTGGTGGGATGGAAATCAATGATGAATTGGGGATGTTAGTCAGAATACTATTATTAATTCTTTATTCTTTCCATACTTAGGGTGGCCGTAAAAAAGCAAAGGAGTGGAATGATAAACGTCCACATGGTCAGATTCACGTCCACCAACCAATTACAGGGAATGGAAATATATGTATTAGCGGTAATAACAATTTCACTGGACCATCATCGAAACTAGACCAAGAGGTATTTTTTTTTTGCTGGAAGTGATTCACCAATAGAAACTAACTCTTTCTTTAGTATTTAGTCTGATGATGATTTTCTACCTCCAAAAAATCGCCCAACAAAGCAGAGAAAGCAATTATCTCTTTCGAAGGTTAGAACCTTATGTTGCCTTGAATTTTATGCGAGCATTTTTTTTAATGGCTACTTTGTTACATCCACAGAACAAAGAATCGGTCGAATCGACTGCGTCAAAGAAGGTATGTGTAAGATTCAACCTATGGCAAGAAGCGGATTCCTCACTACTATTCGTTATGTGAACAGATCAAAACCAGTAGTAAGAATGTGGATGAAAAGGGAAACGATGATGACCCATCCCTTAGTAACGAAAGTTCGACCAGTTCTAATTCAGGATCATCAATATCAGGTTCAACACCACAAACAATTAATTCAGACGAAAATTGTGAACCTGTTGTTGACTCTACGGTCTCTACCCAAGATATTGAGGTAATTTTTAGAAATCTGGGCATACCTGACGCATGTTTTTATATCTTTCGTACTTATACAACAGGCCACGATAATTGATGAAACACTTGAAACCTTGGCCAAGGAAAGCCTCGTTAGAAATGAAGAATGGATTATTGGTGGTAAGATAAATGTTCGAGAGTCGCTAAAAAAATGGAAGCGCGAAAAAGTTCGTCCCCATAATGAGTAAGTTTCAGTTTATTATTTTATAAAACATCAAAGTAAATGGTGCATTAACTATCATTATGCGATATTAGTCTTGGATACTATGATATCATTGATATCACGCCTGGATCTAATAGTGATTTTGTTAATTCACTATCGAAATTCGAATATGAAGAAGTGATATGTTACGATCCTCCAAAATTACCGAATTTTGATTATGATGAAATCAAAGCACTAATCGTTAAAAATATCAAGGTGTTCGATAACTTTGTTATTATTATTGATTATCTTTCAAAAATGTCTAATTAGCAAGTCTTTTATTATAGGCGTCTGATTTTTGAAAAGCAGTAAATGAAAATTTCATGTCAACAAGAGGTGATAAGGATAAAGAATTCGCATGGGATTTTGCTTATCACTGTAGGCATCATCTTATTATAATAGTTTCTTTGATATCCGCACAATTATTAACTTTATGTAGGGCCAATTCTTTTGATCATGGAAATGATCTTCTTCATACCAACATGTCAGAAAGAATGTATCGAGAGATTTTCTTAACACCCGTAATTTGAAGTTTATTTCGAAAAAAAAGTACGGACCTGGATCTCTTTTTGTAAGTAATGGATTGTATCATTTTAAATTGCTATTTTTAACGATCATCAGATAAATATCAATTTGTTATCTATTTATTAAGTGGTGAGGTATGCTTATACGCATCGGCTGAAGACGCCAATTTAAAGAAGAACGACGCAGAGGACCGAAGTTTGGGACGAAAGATTGATGCCGTTTGGGCCACAAAACCTCCAAAGGTAGAGTTCGCAATTTGTGAAGTTAGTGGACCCCCCAACCAACGACTACATTCGCACTATTTACCGACAAAATAAAATGTTAAAAATAATGCTAAATAGAATAGCTCGAGTTTATGGTGGGGATAGTACTATTTTCAATTTATTAAAGCTTTACGCTTTGCAGATTTATGGTAAATGTTCTCAGTATATTTAATGATAATCTTATGTTTTTTGTCTTGGTTATTGATTTTTAAATAATTGTAGATCACAATGCAATTGTATACGAAATGATCGTACCGTATCGAGAATTATACTTATTTAGAGAAGTAATACAAACGGAATTACCAACAAGTCAAGTTAATTTAGTGCGGATGCGTCAATGCATCCCGAAATTCCTTTTATTTAAAGTATATGTCCTTATTTTTTTTGAGATATTTTTTCAATTAGTTCTTGTATGTACAAACTAAATTTATTCTATTGTTTATAGGAAATGCTTTGTAAAAGTTTAAGTGATCTACGTGAATATATTATGGAAGCTGGTTTACATACACCACCTGAAAAAATTAAAGCATCTCTATTTGTTACAGAAATGACGTATACGCCCCATCAAAAAAGGATAATAATAAAAAAGAAATAGGCAAGAGAGGAGGGGAAAAAAAGTAGTATATTTTATGTTGTTCAATAGTCAAAGAAAAAGTGTATAACTTCGTTTTTTTTATTAGTTAGCATATTTTGTTGAACTCGAGTTGTATCAATGCATAGTAAAAATATAATTGTAGTTATAACATAGTACATATTTGAAAATAAAGTATATAATCCCCTGTCGCACTAAGTGTCACTCATGATCACCTTCATACTAATTTTTTAAAAATTGCGAGTGATTAGCTGAGAAATGACCGGAAATCTTCGTTTAGTTATTTCCCGGCCTCATATAGATAGCCGGGAAATTACTAATTTTAGTTAAAATTGTTAGTATTAATAATGAGTGACATGCTCCAGGGGATTATCCATTTATTTTATGGGAAGGGGAACATAGGGTCCCATGAAATAAATAATACTAATTCCGTCCTCATGAATCCTTTGCCGGAAGCAATTGGATCGCATTGTACTAGGCAAAAAGTGATCAACATTACAAATTGTAACGTGCACGTGATTTTTCATCGTGTCTTAAAATAAATTACTGTCAAATTAACACTGGTTTGACGAGCTCGAACAAGCTTGTCCAGTCTCGGTCACTTGCTTAAGCAAGGAATATGGTAGCTTTTTTTCTTTAAAGCATTTGGCTAAAACGTTTTAATAAAGTTTTCCCAACAATTCAGTCTTATATTTTTATTTGTTTCGTAAAGGTGTATGAGAGTGTGTAATGCATTTTTGGAATATGTTCTCCTTTGTACCTTTGGTATTGCAGAAGATAGCCTAACTATTGAATAGGCATTTTCTTTTTTACATTTCTTAGATAGGTATTTCTTTTTCGAATTTATGAGAAAAAAAGGTACTGGGCCATTTACTATACTGTGCTATGCCACATGATTCATTCATTCTTCTGCGCAATTTTGCCAACCCTGGACAAGAGGGGTGATGTGTACACGGTCCAGATTGGTTGATCCTCGTGACTTAAGTTGCGGGGAAGTAAGGATGGTCATCGGTCCTACCGGTCCTACTCGGTCCTGGACCGGTCAGTCTCAGGACTTGTAGGACCGGACCACGGTCTTGCATTTTTTTGTGGTGCAGTAGGACCGGTCCTGAAGACCGACCAGTCCTCATACTGGTCTTCATATAATAAATGATTTTTATATTGAATAAACCTATTAATCTGACAAAGGTCTTCATAAAATAATATAAAGACCGGCCATTTCCAAACCAATAAATAATGACAATCACTCTTCCCACTTGTAGAGTTGCTTGTCAAAACGCTGAAACTCCAAAACTCCAAAAAAAAGCATTTAAGCAGAATATCTCGTCATCCAGTGATCATAAAGGGATGAAACCACCACCATTCGAATTGTCTCAGCAAGAAGCGTCAAATGGTGACTAAATCATGTTTCTAGAATTGATAGATAGTCGGTAATTATTGAATTTATTATCAAATAGTTTTGCTGACGTAATTTTTTTTATCAATTCTAAAATCATGATTTTAATACCATTCGATGCACCACAGTGAAACGATTCGAATGGTGGTAAAATCATCCTTTTATAATCACTGGATAGCGAGATATTGCGTTTTGAAGTATTTTTTCTTAAAGCTTTAAATTTTTTTTTAAAAAAAATTATATTAAAAATCATCCCAATTAGTGTTCATTTATAAAACAAGGCTATTCCTAATAAAGTTAGGGAAGAAAATCTTTTTTATTTGCAAAAAAAGAAAAAAGACTGATGGTCTTATTATATGTGATATAGGACTGAAAGACCACAGTCCTACACTAAGATGGACCAGTCCGTCTTTTTATGGTGTAGGGCTGTAGAATCGCAGTCTTCTAAACCCGATGAACATCTTTAGGGGGAAGTATCAGGAACTGTTTGGGAGCCAGGGTGATACAAATTTTTATGTTATACATCATGCAAAGCGCTTAGGGTTCTGATCGGTTTTGGTAATTATTGAACTGAACTGATCGGTTTCGGTATTAGAACGGTTTTGATATTCTAATTTACCGAACTGAACCTTTTGGTAAATTTACTGATCGGTTTCAGTAACTTCAGTTTCGGTATCAGTTTTGCGATTTACCGAACTGATTTACTGAACTGATATTTTCGGTATCAGTTTTGGTAAATTTTACTGATCATTTCAGTAAATTTACCAAACTGATTTGCCGAACGTTTCATGACGTTGATAAAAAATGTTGCAAAACATTTTTTTGACAATTTAATAAAAACGTTGCGAAACGTTTTTATTAGTTAATTTATTTAAAAAAAAATGTTTTGCAACGTTTTTTTTTTGATAATTTAATAAAAACGTTGTGAAACGTTTTTATTTGTTAATTTATTTTAAAAAAAATATTTCGCAACATTTTTTTTCATAACTTAATAAAAAATGTTGCAAAACGTTTTTTATTAGTTAATTAATTAAAAAAAAACGTTTCACACCGTTTTTTTTTGATAATTTAATAAAAACATTGCAAAACGTTTTTATTTGTTAATTTACTTTAAAAAAAAACATTTCACAACGTTTTTTTTTTGATAATTTAATAAAAACGTTGTAAAACATTTTTATTTGTTAATTTATTTAAAAAAAAAAACATTTCGCAACATTTTTTTTCATAACTTAATAGAAAACGTTACGAAACGTTTTTTATTAGTTAATTAATTAAAAAAAATGTTTTGCACCATTTTTTTTTGATAATTTAATAAAAACATTGCGAAACATTTTATTTGTTAATTTATTTTAAAAAAAACGTTTTGCAACATTTTTTTCATAACTTAATAGAAAACATTGCGAAACGTTTTTTATTAGTTAATTCTATATAAAAAAAGTGAATTGCAATACCGCAACTCACTTTTTTTATATAAAATCAATATAAAAAAGTGAATCACAATACCGCAACTCACTTTTTTTATATAGAATCTATATAAAAAAGTGAATCGCAATACCGCAACTCACTTTTTTTATACAAAATCAATATAAAAAAGTGAATTGCAG